CGACTGGATGGCACCTAATCACAACAACAACAAATGTGACTCCATATGATAAGCATTGGACTGTGAACCACAGGTCTGTGATTCGAGCCCACCAGCCGCTCTGCAGGAAAAAGGTAAGGCTTTCTGCTCCCACAAAGATGTAAAAGATTCACAAACCCTACACTGGGTCGCTATGGGTCGCTTTAGGACACTTAACAACAACAACCAAATGTCAAGCCCTGTGCTGGTGTTATGACACTGCTTCACAATCTTGACTACACATCTGAGTCATATGGGGAAGTTTAAATAAATTCTGATGCCCTGGTCCCACTTTAGACGAACTGACTCCTAGTATCTAGGTGTGAGACCCAGCATCCATAATACCTCCCCAGGCAATCATGGCTGAGAATCGTTGTTAGAAATATAATGGAATTTAATAGTCAAGCAAGGCAGTGCAGTGGCTTTGTACCATAAGCACTGGTTTGCGTACCACAAGGTTGGAGGTTTAAGCTCACCAGTTAAACTGTAGGAGAAAGATGAGACTTTCAGTTCCCACAACAAATTACAGCCTTGGAAATTTATACAGGGTTGGTAAGAGTCTGAACCAACTCAACAGCACTTACCAACAATAGCCAAGAAGGAAAGGCGAGCAATAACCAGAAAAGCATCCATCTTTAAAAACTGTATAATTTTCATGGGAAAAAAAGTGCATTTTGTTATGTGAGGTATAAGGTGATATAACACAGTCTGAGAAATCACAGATGGCTTCTCTAACGAAGATATTGAAATCAGATATGAAGGGTAAGCAGTAGATAACTAGTTGAAAGGACTTGCTGAGTCAACAGAAAAGAGCTCAAAGCAGTGGGAAAGCAAATACAAACTCTCTAAAATGAGAGGGAAAAACTCCTTTGGTTGGAGCAAACTGCTTCTGTGCTGATCCATGTGGATGTGCCAATGACAACTTTATCATTGTGTTTCTATAACAACAAACATTGAGAAACTGAAGACTTCATATTTTTTGTTTTTATTTCTATTGCACTACATCAAGTTTTTGGTCTGAAATAAGCCCTTGGAGACTGAAGCAGTAGAGAAATTCTTTGATGTCAGAGAGATAAAGGGGTAAAAGTTGCAAGAAAGGAGTTTGTGAGAGAAGAATTTTAAAATGTATTTAGAGAAATTTACTAACAGAAAAATTTAAAAAGCCTAAGTCCTGGTGTGGTGCTGTGGGTTAATGCGCCAGACTGCAAAGTCGTTTGAACTGCAAGGTTGGCAGTTCAAGCTCACCAGCTGTTTTTTGGAAACCCTATACAGGGTTGCTATGGCTCAGAATCGATGGCATTTAACAACAACAAAGTCCTTAAGCAAACCACCAAATGGTTGATCTTTCTGCATTTTTTTTTGTTTCATCCACTGTCCAGATTCTATTAGTACACATAGATATTCAGATGTTAAAGTAGTAAAGATGGGAAAGTTTTTAAGAGTAGATATTAATAAATCTAACTCATTACACACATTCTATATATCCCAGGATCAGGTGTGATTACCATGGGAGGTCCTTGTTGGAGAACACCAAGGATAGATGCGGGAGGAAACGAGTCACATCTGGACCATGGCATAACGAAGCAGAAAGCTGCTCCTTAATGCTAGTGCATGACCAGAAGCCAGATTGGTACACCATGAACAGATATGATAATCGGCACCCTGCATTGTTCTCTCTTGAAACCTACTCATGCATCCCTGAATTATAGTCTTGTTTTTCTCTCCCCTAAGAACATTTCCTTAATCTGTATAATGTCAAAAGACCCCTTTAATGTCAACGATGTATGGCATCCTGGGGGGATGTAAATGCTAGAAGCTAATAAATATGGAGTACCGCCATGTCTCGGGGCTCTTGATCCTAGAGGTCATGAGTCTTGTGGTCTCCTTTAATCTCTAATTTGTGTCTGTGTTTTATTTCTAAACTGTGTCGTCTCTGCCGCCCTGGTGGTGTGAGATGGACTTGCATGGGTCCTCTGAGTCCTTAAAAAGTTATGAACATGAGAAGCACCCAAATAATTCACAATTACAATATAAACATTTCTTTACTTGGGGTCATTCTTCTGTAGAGAAATTCTCTAGCTGAGGGCTCTGTGGTTTAGAGTAGGCACATGTCCTGGGAAACCTAGGCATGCATGTCCACTTAGGCTAGGTTAGCTGCCCATTGCTGTCGCATTCATTCACTCATAGTTAGACCCTATCGGGTAGACTAGAAATACCCTATAGGGTTCCCAAGGCTGTAAATCTTCAAGGAAGCAGACTGCCTCATTTAGCCCGTGGACGGTTGATAATTTTTTGTAGCAGCCAGGTGCTTTAACCACTGCACCACCAGGAATCCTCATCTGAATGGACTCTACCACAATGGGCAGGAGGCTAGCTGCCACTCTAGTATATTTTGTATACTTCTTGTCATGTGCACTGAGTCGGTTCAGACTCATAGCGACCCTGCACAGGCTTTTCTGAGAGCGGCTGGTGGGTTTGAACTGCTGACCTGGGTGGTTAGTAGTCCAGTACTCATCCTAAGCGCTTCACGTTGTTAAGTGCCCTCCAGTAGGCTCCGACTCCTAGGGACCCTGTAAAGGGTATCCGGCGAGCGGCTGGTAGGTTTGAACTGCTTACCTTGTAGTTAGCAGTCCGGGGCGTAGTCTACAGCACCACATAGGTGCTAAATAAATATTAGTAGAAGTAATACATTGCTATTCGGTGTGGCGCTGTAGGATAAGCACTGGACTGCTAACCACAAGGTCAGCGGTTCAAATCTAGTCGCTCGTTGGACACCCTATACAGGGTCGCTACGAGTCGGAACCGACTGGAGGGCGCTTAACAGCAACAGTCGTTTAAAGGGATCTTAGTTTTTTAAAAAGGGATCATTAATTTAGGAAGATATCCTTAAGTTTAGTTTTACAAGAAAAAAAAAAGTGGCCTAGGGTCCCCACAGGAGATGAGGTTTTGTGCAACGGATACTAAAATGCGTCTGGGCCACGCATCTGGGCCGTGGACAATAATAACAAGCTACTTACCTGGTCAGGACTAACTCCACAGTCTCAGCTACAGCCAACTCCAGGGTCTAACCAGATCTGTTGAGCAGTTGCCAGGGAAACCGCTCGGCTAAGTCTCCTGGGACGGTGCCTGGGAGGGGGGGGCGGTGCCTCGGGGGGGGCGGTGCCTCGGGGGGCGGTGCCTCGGGGGCGGTGCCTCGGGGGGGCGGTGCCTCGACCTGTGCACTTTCTACTACTGTACATTGTTGATAACTGATTTTCAGAATTTGCACATTATTATCCTCACGTTCAAATATGTGATTAAAGTAAAACATTTCCAGCTTTAGGTGAGGGTTTTCGTTATAATTCCTGGTACCACATAGCCTCTGTGTAACAAGTCTTTTGAACTGACTCGATGGCATTTAACAAAATAAGGCCAAAAAAAGGGAAAAGACCAACCCTCGGTGAAGGACAATCAGTTTTCCAGGGAAATCAAGGCAGAAATAAGCAGAGAAAATAAGACTTGAAAACCCTCCTCAAAAGATGAGAGCCAGTTCCAAATCTTCCCTCTTGCCCAAAGAGAGGGAACAGAAAAACGAGAGAATCCAACGAATTTTCTCGCCGTCCACTTTTCGCTTGCCTTGATCACATAGGGGACCCTTGGCTTCCTCTTTCGGCAGCACGCATGCTCCGGGAATCTCTACGAGCCTTCTCTATGGTGCAGTCTATAGTCCCGCCCCCTGCTCTTCCTGGGGCCAGGCTTGTCAGGAGTCTGCCGAGACCCGGAAATACCTGAGTAGTAGCTGTGTATCTATAGTTTTAGTGTTCAGCAGGTGTTTTCCACAGCTAGACGTGGTGTCCAGGCTCTTAAGTGTGTTCTCTCAGGGGCCGATCGTCGGATGCCGACTCCTGAGCCCGGCTGTGAAGCCCGGGATTGCTCGGGGCCATGCCCGCAGCGGCAGCTCCCATCATCAGCTCAGTACAGAAGCTGGTGCTGTATGAGACTAGAGCTGTGAGTACCCGGCGCTGCCCGGCCTGCATAGCACTGGCGGCGGCTTAGCGGGCGGGTGGGTGCGGGGCGGAGAGTGGAGGACAACTCCCCAGATCCGGATTCCACGCCTTGGGGCGGGGGTGGGGGTGGGGTGGGGAGTGGTCCAAACTAGCCATCCTAGGCTGTGCCTGGAGAGTCTTCGCACGCTTAGCACACCCAGGGCCCTGCTGCGTCGCATGTGCGTATATCCACTTAAAAGTCACGGCCGGATCACACTGAAAACTGGTGCTTGGAACTTTAGAAACTGTTCAAAGAGGTTCTGTAAGAGTTAACTGGGTTCTTCTCAGCTTTCAAAAAGTCAGAGTTCTAGTGTTCTGTAGTTAACATAGCGTAACCTTTCTGTTTTCCTGTTCTTGGTAAACCGTAACTGATTGGTGTTGTCAAGTGCCTTCGAGTCGGTTCTTACCCATAGCGAGCCTGTATAGGGTTTCCGAAGAGCAGCTGATGAGCTTGCACTGCCGGCTTTGCGTTTTAAACCGACCTTGCAGTCCAGCACATTAACCCGCAGGACCACACCAGTGCGCTTTTATTGCTGACTTATTTGGGTCTCTTTGTTTTTGAAAGAAAAAAAACAACGTTTTTTTTGTTTAATAACAGCTAACTTCGACAAAATTGTCTTGCTGTTCACTTGACTTTTTGTCAACACATTTTACTGCTTCAAGTGGCAATGAGTAGACCCGTTTTTTATGTACGTTGGGTATAAAAAATTGGGGAATTGAATGTAGATACACTTTTTTATGTAAATGGAGGTTCCTCACTGATTTTAGGGCCCGTGGTTACTCTTATCCACTTATTACCAACAAGATTACATATACTGCAAATTTGCATAACATTCTTCGTTATGCTATGAAATGTTTTACAATGCACGTTCAGTGGAACTTAGGTTGTCTCCATTACAGGAATTCAAGAAGGTAATTAGAGAGTCTGTGTTTATATAGCTCAATCCTAAATAGCCAATTCCATCATGAATATAGAAATATTGCTGACTAAATAATTTTGCCAACAACTTGATTAGCTCCAGATCAGACGATGAAATGATGTGGTCTGCTGTGTTTGCATATATCTTCAGGTTCCCTGAGGAGAGTCATACAGGAGTATAATTTTGACATTGAAACAAACAAAACCTTCTGCTTTCTGTAAAATGTGCTAGTAACTGTTCCTGGTTAGAAACATAAATATCCTACTTCAAGTGCAGAACTCTCAGTACATTAGCTAACAACTTTCATGAGGTCTAGTGGGGATATTACACAGTTCAGAAATAAGTGGCCCCATTCAGAGGAGAGAAAACTCTGAAAATCTTCAGTTTGACATTCAAAGTCACATAAGATTTGTTCTCTTCTTGTTGCATTTCATATGTAATGATGTATTAATTCATCAAACCGTTACTGAGGATCAACAATGTGCTTTTATGCAGTAAAATTGCTTTGTTTTAGGTCCGTATATCTACCCTGTGCTTTTTTACATTCTCTCTCCTCACAATGTCTCTGTTCACCTTCTGCTACTGTCAAAACCTTGCTGACCCTCACAACACAGATTTGGTACAGTGTCTTGCTAACCATAGGCTCTTATCGATGATGGTTAGGAATGTCTAATGCAAAGAGAAGGAGCCCTAGAGGTGCAATG